TGGTGCAGACAGGAAGCAGAGGCTGCACTGCGTCCTGCCCTGGCCAGCTTCCTCGTCTGGGCTGCATTGTCTCCCAATATTTTTTTTAAACTTTTTTTAAAAAAGATTTCTTTATCTATTTGAAAAGCAGAGTTAGGCCGGCGCCGCGGCTCACTAGGCTAATCCTCCGCCTAGCGGCGCCGGCACACCGGGTTCTAGTCCCGGTCGGGGCGCCGGATTCTGTCCCGGTTGCCCCTCTTCCAGGCCAGCCCTCTGCTGTGGCCAGGGAGTGCAGTGGAGGATGGCCCAGGTGCTTGGGCCCTGCACCCCATGGGAGACCAGGAAAAGCACCTGGCTCCTGGCTCCTGCCATCGGATCAGCGCGGTGCGCCGGCCGCAGCGCGCCGGCCGCGGCGGCCATTGGAGGGTGAACCAACGGCAAAAGGAAGACCTTTCTCTCTGTCTCTCTCTCTCACTGTCCACTCTGCCTGTCAAAAAAAAAAAAAAAAAAAAAAAAAAGAAAGAAAAGCAGAGTTACAGAGAGACAGAAGTGGAGAGAGAGAGGTACCTTCCATCCACTGGTAACTTCCCAAATGGCTGCCATGGCTGGAGCTGGGCCCATCTGAGGCCAGGAGCCAGGAGCTTCTTCTGGGTCTCCCACGCAGGTGCAGGGGCCCAAGGACTTGGGCCATCTTCTGCTGCTTTCTCAGGCCACAGCAGAGAGTGGATCGGAAGTGGAGCAGCCAGGACTGGAACCGGCGCCCATGTGGGATGCCGGCACCACAGGCTGCAGCCCCGCCTCCCAGTGTTCTTAACTTCACAGAGCAGCAGCTGAACGGACGGGTTCTGCTTTTGTCCGCAGACCCTGTTCTTCTCAGGTTTATAGCAGATGTTTGATCTGGATATTGTGGGTGTACATTTATCTTTCTAGGCAAAGCAAAAACTGACGCAATATGGGGACTGGTTTAACACAAAGTTTCAGCACAGAATTCAGATTTAGCTGCAGGGAGAGATGGAGGGAATCGTCAGTGAAGCCCAGTGTGCTCCCCACCCTGCCTTTTAGCCCTCTTCCATTCCCCTGTCGACCTGCTGGACGCCGGGGAGCCGGCCTCGCACCCTCGGAATTCTGAGACGGAACCTCAGGTCTCCCTGACCCCGGGGCTGAGCAGTTACGTTTCTGTCCCTTCCTGTGTCGTGCGAACAACAGGGACTCGAGGAAGCACCACCGTCCCCCCAGAAAAGGGACTGAAATCAGGCTCTCGGTACTTTTTAATGAACAGCTTGACAGTGGAGTGAGATAGCCGTTAGAGACCACTTTGGCAATGCATAAAATCAAGCATGAAGAAACTCTCCAAGCCTCCCGGCTCGATCACCAGTTAACATTTCCATGCCTTTCCTTCTGGCCAGGTCTTGCTTTGTTCACCGTTGTTCCTCTCTGGACGCTGCCTGTGACGGGTGACGTCACGTGTGCAGTGGCTCTGCCGGGGCGCACGTGCCGTGACACTGGCGGTGTAGCCTGCCTCCCTGGGAGCAGGGGTGGGACTCACGCGCATGCAGTGAGCACCCTCGCGTTCGTTATCAGTAGAGGTTCTGCTGGTCTGGTTGGGTCCCTATCATAGCTCTAAGAGTCATTGCTGTGTGAAAGTGGATCTGTTTCTGAGGCCAGGTGGCGGGTGTCCTGGATTTCTGGTTGCGCAGCTGGGCTTGTGACAGTTGTCCTCACTGTCTCAGGACCAGGAGTCTGGGGTTGGTTTTTTTGTTGCTGTAAATTTGCTTTGTAGACAGCACAGGTCTCAGTTTGAAGGAGAGGGTGGGGTAAGTTCACCCAAATGCAGTTATGAAGTCACCACAGTCGTACCTGAAATGCTTGGCCCCAGCCGTTGGCACATTTTGCTGGCATGTAGTTCTTTAAAAAAGAGAAATTCCTTCAGACTGTTTATAGTCTTTGGGTAAGTTATAGAAGACCAAAGAATTACTGTCCTATCAATACGACTCAAACACAATGGCAAATAAAAGTTAAAAATAGGCATCCAGAAATGGTTAGGAAATGCACTGAAATTGTCTTGCAACAAATAGAGCAAACCTGTCTGAGATCACAGTCAGGAATATTTTTAAAATCATGGAGAACAGGTGTCTCCGAGAATCGTGGTTGGTGAATTTCATGCCAGCTTCGGGGAGGGGCAGGAAGCAGATTCCAGGCAGTGTTGTGGAGCCAGGCCGAGGGCTCCTTGACTCATGGCGCTCGGCCACATTCACTGCCCCCGGTGTCGCTGTGTGGGAGCCAGCCGAGGTTTCAGAGCAGGGCCAAACTGAGGTTGAGGTGGGGCTGGGCGGGGAGGTCACTTGACCCTCAGGGTAGACTCTGCCTTGATTTGAGTCGGATACCTGGCACATGGGATTTTATTTATTTATTTGAGAAGTAGAGTTACAGACACAGAGAGAGAGAGAGACAGAAAAGTCTTCCATCCGATGGTTCATTCCCCAACTGGCTTCAGTGGCCAGAGCTGTGCTGATCCAAAGCCAGGATCCAGGAGCTTCTTCTGGATCTCCCACGTGGGTGCGGGGCCCAAGGACTTGGGTCATCTTCCGCTTTCCCAGGCCACAGCAGAGAGCTAGATTGGAAATGGAGCAGCCAGGACTAGAACCAGCTCCCATATGAGATGCTGGCACTGCAGGTAGAGGATTAACCTACTGCGCCCCAGTGCTGGCCTGGGATTCCGATAATTGTAAAATTGCCCAGTCTTTGCTTAGAGTCTGCCGCGTGTGGGTGTTGACTGTGGCCTGTCCTGCGGGCCTCGTGGTGGAGTCCTGTGACATGGCAGCAGAATAAGGTGACACTGGCGGGGGAAGAGGGGTGCGGGGACAAGCAGAGGACCACGGAGAGGTCACAGCTGCCTAGCAGTTGGAGCATGGCAGTCCACAGGGGTGCCGGTGTTGACCGAGGTGAAAGCTGTGGGCCTCAGATGGATTTGGGAGACAGAGACGACGGGACCCCCCATGTGAGTTAGATATGAGGGCTGGAGGGCAGGGAGAGCTCAGTGACTTCCGGGCTCCCGGCTTGAGCAGCGGGGGGCCATGGGCCAGCTGTGGGTGGTCTGGTTCCAGTGATGCTCGGACCTCAGGAAGAAGGATCAGCGCCTTGAGGAGGCCCCGCCACCTGGAGAGAGCCATGCCAGGAGCAAAGGGAGAGCCCTGCTCAGCTTCAGACACCCCCAAGTGTGCGTGGGATGGGTCAGGAGGACACAGCCCTGCATCTCCTGCCTGAGCTGAGACTGATGCGCATGGCGCACCTGCGTGAAAGAGAAGCCCAGCTCGGCCGTCTGTAGAGGAGTGTGGTGCCCCTTGGAGCAGGCAACAGTGACGTTGGGCTGGTGCATGGTTGTCGGCTGTTGTGGCATGGGTGTAGACCTCAGCTATCGCGTGGGTGACATCATCGGTCCGTCGCATTGGTGGTGACATCAGGCCTCGCATGGGCTCAGCGCTCGGCCTTTGGAAGGATAAGTGGGATCGGCCCACTGTGCCCGGCTCACGACCGTTGCCACCATCGGAGGGGTGGGGACGTCTGTTGGGTAGGGGATTGTGGGTAAACGAGGCCTGAGGGGGAAGCGTGGCGGGGACTTGGGCTCAGCTTTTGCTGCAGAGCACAGATCCTGCCAGGAGCAGCTACGTGGTCCCTGCTGACGGGGTGTTCCGGCAGGTGTCCCCTGGCACGAAGGTGCAGGAGTCGCTGCACCCTGTCTCCCCACGTGGGGCCGCGTGGGTCCTTCCCAGCCTTCCTGGAGGCCGTGCCACGGTAACTGTTCCCGAGCCGCTCATCACCGGGGCTGTCATTCTCAGCCAGCAGCGGCCTGACCACAGGATACTTGCTCCACTGCCTCGTAAAACGCTGGGCCAGTGGTCAGCGGGCAGCGGTGCAGAAGCTGGGGTGACATCCAGGAGAAATGCCGAGGGGGCCCGAGTCCCTCTGAGCTCACACAGGAAGGAATACCAGCTGGCCGGACTCCTGGGTGCCCTCGTGATGCACAAGACGCGGGTGGGCAGAGCTGCCAGCAGGTGCTCTGGCTCTGCCTTCAGTGTTGGGTCCGCTGTCAGGGTCCGCGGCCGCCTTCTGGGACCCTGAGCTGGGAGGCGTCCACTCAGGCTCAGTCTCCCTCCAGCATTCATAGGGTTTTTTGTGCACAAGTTGCCTGTGTTTTGTGCATGTTTTCAGTCTTGGGAGGGAAGAGGAGGGGAAGCAGAGGCCGCCCCCAGGGGTGCAGTGTGTGTGGCAGCCGCGAGGAGAGCCGGGGGCTGTCTGTCTCAGGGCGTCTCAGCCTGCCGTGTGGAGTGCGGGCAGGAAGCTGTGGACAGTCTTCCCTGAGCATGCTTCTCTCCCCCTTGGACAGGAAGCCGAGGCCTGCGACGTGCAGCCCACTGCCGTCTTCCATTATTTCAGCTGCGTGTTTATTGCCCTGTGCCAGGAAGGGAGGGAATTCAAATGTGGGTCTGGATTTTTTTCTTTCTAACAAAGAGGCTTTCTTTTATGGTGTCTGTTTTAAACAAGCGATTCAGAAGTAATCTGTATCATCTCCCGCAGCATTTCCCAGTGCGTTTCCTCGGGAGTGGTCTGCTCAGGACACGAGTCTTTGCCTCACACTCTCACTCGTGGGAGGGGTACCTGTTCCTCTCCCACGAGCCAGGTGCAGAAATCATGGCTCAGGCTCCTGGTCCAAAGCACAGTTCAGAGGCAGGTGTGGGGTGCCGGCGAGCGGAGTCCTGGCATCCCTGCAGTGCCTCTGGGTCGCAGGTGGCTGAACGCCATGTGGTTGCCCCTCAGGGGTTCCAGGAGGGTACGGTTCAGGCTGCGAAGCCCCCCACAAGTCATTTCCCAGGGAGCTGCTGCAAAGGACAGGCACCGTGTCGTCCTTGGGGTCCCGTGGACGCGTCTCTGCCTGCACGGTTCTGCTGAGGGCTCCCTGCAGGGAGACTGACGCCAGGTAGACCCTCACCCCTCCCGGTTCTCACGAGGTCTCTTTGCTTTAGGATACTTCTGACTTCGGTCACACTGCTGTCGATATATTCAATCAACCTGCTGTTGATCTGTTCAAAGGAGACAGGTGAGCCGAGCGCATCCGCGCGTCCATGTTCAAGACGGGGAGGGTGGCGATACTGTTAATAAAAGGGGGCCGAGACCCTGGAGCGGGAGACCCTGGTGAGCGGTGTTTACCTGGAGGAGCAGATGCAGCAAAATAGGAATTGGCGGTGAGCTCACCGTGCTGGCATTTCAGACAGACTTTCACAGGCACGCGTTCTGCTTGATGACCTCATTTTAAAGGCTTCAGCTTCCCCTAGTCCTCAGGAACCCAGGACAGGGAGCCCAGGGTTCTGTGCTGTGGTCGCCGAGGTTCTCGAGTAAACAGAGCTTTGCTTCTGCTTGTGCTCGTGCGAGGGAAAGCGGGCGGCTGGGCGGGGCAGGCGCTCTGGGCAGTGTCACACCTCAAGCGGTTGCCCTGCACGCCCGCCCCTCGGGCTCTGTTTGTAACAACCGGCTGCTGGGGCGCACAGACGATCCCTGTGACGGGAACATTCCGTGATCAATCGAGTTGCTCACTGAGGTCGGCTTTAAACAGACGTTACACAGAGGTTTAGTTACAGCCTGGCCGGTGTTGCTTTCTCTGTGACCCTTTTCAAAGCATGAACTGAACTGCCATAAAGAAGTATAAACACTTTTTTTTTTTTAAAGAGTGGTTTAGAATTCAGTCTGTTTCGAGATGAGATTTAGTATTTATTTACAGTTTTGCTAGATGAATCTGTGGATGGGTTTGCCCACTGTCTTGTGAGCTGGGTGTCTTTGAACCAGATTTTAGAACAGTCGGAACTCTCGTGTTGTAGCATTGCCTGGTGTGAAGCTTGTTCCTCTGGGAAAGGGGTTGGATGGGCTGTTACTAAGCGAGTTCTTGGCTAACTTAATTTTCAGGTAACTAACTCACATGGAATCTTTGTGTGACAGGAGTCAGGGTTTTCTTAAAACTGCACTCTTGATTTTAATGGCACACGTGAGATCCAAGGAAGGGATCAGAGTGGGACGCTCCCCTAGCAGAGTAGGGAGACCTAAGAATGCGCCCTATGACCTGGCCGTTTGATTGTCATGCTCCTATAGCAGTCCGAGAAGGAGCGATGGCGTTGAAGTTTGAAAATGTCAAGAGGTGGTTTTGTAGTGAGGATGCCTTAACCCTCGCCAGCCAGAGCTGTTGGCGAGAGCTGGAGAGGGCCACACAGGAACCTGGGGTGTGGCCAGCAGAACAACCCAGGGTTGGCTCTTTGGCCTTGGAGAGCCCTGTGCCGTCTGTGTTTTTCTGTAGGCTGCATGGTCTATGAGAAGCTGGGAGAGCAAGTCTTCGGCACCACGGGGAAGCTGGTCATCTTTGGAGCTACCTCCCTCCAGAACACTGGCGGTACAAAGCATCCTGTCTGTGCCTTCCCGCGGCGGGTAGTCCCCTCGCCCGCATGAGATGCCCGAGGCCCGTGCTCACCAGCAGGCAAAGGCTTATTTAGCTCATGCTTTGGGAGGGTCAGGTCCAAGGTTGAGTGGGCCTTGCTGGAAGGGTGGGTAGATGGCCATAGCAGGATGCACCAGGAGGAAGGGTCACAGAATCAGCCAGGGCACAGAGGAAACACTGGGCCTGACCCGGGGTTTTCCCCAGAGTCTCTTGAGAACCATGTTCTGAGAGCTCCTGGTGACCTGAGGTCTCCCACATAAGCCCCCCACCCCGCCCAGTCCCGGATGCCAGCCCTGGATTAGAATTGCTAATCCCAGCCCTCCTCTCCTGCCTCCTCATGCCATCCCCTCAAAACCTGGGTGAGTTCAGGGCCCGGATCATTCCCACCTATGGCAGGGGCCGCGTGAGCTTTAACCTAATGCAAACCGTGACCAGGCTTCCGGTCAACGTGGCGCGTGGCAGGGGAGCAGAGAGCAGGCTGCCACCCTGGCCAGTGGTGGGGCTTTTCTCCCTACGAGTGCTTTGCCTCCCCAGCAATGCTGAGCTACCTCTTCATCGTGAAGAACGAGCTCCCCTCTGCCCTCAAGTTCCTGATGGGAAAGGAAGAGGCGTTTTCGTAAGTCACAGAGCCCAGTGTGTGTGTGTGTGTGACATAACTAACATGTTTTCAGTTGGGTGTGGGCCAGCCAGTGTTTTTACTTTATGAAAACTGCAGAAGCATAGTTTTTCCTGAGCATTGTTTTAAACATCTGTGGGGCTACTCAGCAAATGGGAGAGTTTGCATTTTCCCTGGAGCCTGCGCCCGTGTCTGGTTTCTGTGACATGAGAAAGAGGTGGCGTATCTTGAACACAGAAGCAGAGCACACAGAAGGATGCTGCCTCTCTTTTGGAGCAGGGTCGGGGCACTGGGGGAGCAGAAGCTACATGGCCTGGATGTGGCCGACCCCAGGCCCGCCACAGCTGCAGTCGATGGGACCCCTGCTCTGGCCCCCTCTGGTCCGACAGTTCCTGCCAGGCCTATTTCTTCTGTTCTCTTCCAAGGGAGAACAGTGGCAACTGAGGGCCCAGTATTCTGTCCCCAGGAGCTGAGGTCCAGTCCAAGGTACCGGGGACCAGTGCCCGCCCCTGGCAACTTGGTGCTTGCTGATGTCGGCAAAACAAGGGGCTTTCTCTTAAAATGATTGACAGGCTGGGAGGTAACGGGCACAAGGCAGTGTGTGTGTTAATAACTTGGCAGAGGGCAGTGGAAAACTTATCTTCATGCGTCACCCAGGAGTGAGGGTCACTCTTTGGATAAAATCAGTATTTGTGTTGATCAGATTAGTCATGGTAAAACTGCTCCGTGAAATTTCACATTGGAGGAAAATCCGTCCCTTTGGAGCTCACAGCCCTGCCACCCCATGCCTTTCAGAGCCTGGTACGTGGACGGCCGAGTGCTGGTGGTGGTGGTGACCTTTGGTATCATCCTGCCCCTGTGTCTCTTGAAGAATTTAGGTAAGGAGAGGTGGGGCTCAGCCCAGGGCTTCAGCCTGCTGCGGAGCAGAGAGGAGGTCGGGGGACCCACAGCTGTGCCTCAGGCTTGGCCTCACGGGGCTGGAAGCATCAGTCAGGACACGGCGCCCAGGATGGTGTGGGAAGAGAGATTCTGGGGCGAGAACCCAAGAAGTGTCCAGGAAGTGGGACTCTGCTCCTGGCAGGCATGAACTCCCTGCCGTGTGGCCGGGAGACTTGGTCACACCAAGACGCAGCGTTGCTTCTGTGCACGCCCCGGCATCGTGACTCACGCCGCGGTGCAGGCTCGCCCGCCCAGAGGGGCCGGGAGGGTGGAAGCTGAGGCACCGTGCCCAGTGCTGATGACGCGTGAGTGCGTGCTCAGGCCTGCAGCCGTGGTGTCAGCCGAGCTCCGGCAGAAACCCCTGCGGTGCCTGTGCCAGTGTGGATTCAGGCTCCCCCTCCCCCAGATAATCAGGAACCAATTTTTGGTTTTGTTTTACATAAAAAGTGTCAGACCTGCATAGCTTGTGTGAGGAGTTTTCATAGGTTTTTTGTTTGTTTGTTTTTTGTTTTCCCTTTAAGGCAGAGTCTCAGAGAGAGAGAGAGAGAGAGTCAGTCTGATTCATTGCCCAGATGGCTGCAATTGGTGGGGACAGCCCGCAGCCAGGAGCCAGGGGCTTCATCTGGGTCTCCCATGTGGGTTCAGGAACCCAGACTTGGGCCGTTTTCCACTGTCTTCCCAGACCCATTAGCAGGGAGCTGGATCTGAAGTGGAGCAGCCGGGACTGGAATCGGTGCTCATATAGGATGCTGGCATTACAGAGACTTAACCCGCGGTACCACAGCACTGGCCCCCATAGGTTTTTAAACCACTTCCTGTGCTGGTTTCTGGGTTTGTGTTCAGCTTTTTGGCACCAGCAGAGTTTGCTTTTCGCCATTCTCTAAGGATGAGAGTCACACAGTTCCCTGGGAGGCCACTGAGACAGCCAGACGCCTCCCAGGTGTTCTCAGGAGAGCAGGTAAAGTTTATCCCCAGAAATTCACCCTGCTAACCCCGGACCTGGCTGGCAGTCAGGATGCACACAGTAAGTGCATACTAAGGAGATGCTGGGGAGGCAAGAGTAAATGCGATTGCTGGCAGGACCCCACCCGCGTGCAGCAGCGTGAGCTGGGCTCCGGGAACCTCTGTTCTGTGTGAGCCATGGAGAAGTGCGGCCAAATCCCGTCGCGCAGTGTTTCCACCCGAAGCCTCACTCAGCGCTGTCACATCACCGGCCAGTAGTCCTGTGGCATGGGTGTGTGTTACTGGAGCCCCAGACTGCGCTGGGGGTCGTGGAGACGGCTGCGAGTGTTTGTTTCTTCCTCTCCCTTGAAGGCTACCTGGGCTACACCAGCGGGTTTTCCCTGAGCTGCATGGTCTTCTTCCTGATCGTGGTGAGTGCCAGGTGCTGCGGCGGGTCAGTGCCGGGCCGTGCTGGCTCCTTGTCCAGCTTTAGCAGAGTCCGCCTTGTTTGCTTGTGTTTGCGGCCCCAGGTAATCTACAAGAAATTCCAGATCCCCTGTGGTGGTCCAGAGCTGAATGCAACAGTGAACGCTAATTTAACAGACACCGAGGCGTGCACACCAAGATACGTCACCTTCAACTCGAAGGTAGGCTCTCCACGGAGAGGACGAGCGGCCCGTCGCCCTGGGCGGCATCACATGGCTTTGCACGACTCCCTTCTTCACGCGCGGTACCACTGCTGCTCATCCCGCGGTCCCCTGAGGGACCCACGAGAGGGACCCGGTGACGCCGCAGGCTTCCTCCTGCTCTCCAGGCTGGGCGGCCTGCGGCGTTTCCCCAGAAAGCCACTTGGTGGGTAACGGTCTCAGCAGCCAATCAGCAGCACCCTCAGCCCCCCGTTCTAGAACGTGGTTGGGGGTGGGGGGATTCTACAGACTTTTCAGCCGGCTCTCAGAGCTCTGGGAGCGGTGGTGGACTTCATCCCCCGGGAAGCCCCCAGCCCAGGGCCGCCACAGGTGGAGCCTAAGGGTCCCTGCCCGTCTTTGCTTCTAGTCCTGTTTCCTTGTGCCTGAGAAGTTGTGTTGAGTCTGAGAGTTTACAAAGTCTCATCTGAAAAGGCAAAACAGTACCCTTCTCCTCGGGATGCAGCCGGAGAAGTGGCCTGCGCAGCTCATCTCTCTGGAGCTGCCGCACCTGCTCTAAGCGAGGAGCAGTGCAGGAGCGGGAGGAGTCCCAGGCAGGCCACCTCGCTGGGTGGGGCCACGCAGGCTGGGGCTGTGCCTGGCCGAGGAAACCAGGGCCAGGCCCGAATGGAGCTCTCTAGGACAGCGGTTTCTGAGAGATGAAAACTCTGCTAATAACCACCTAGTCCCGGGGTGTGAGCAGCTCAGGAACAAGACAGCTCGGAAACACAGACACGGGGCAGCTCTTGGGGTAGAAATGCTTTCTCTTACTTACTTAGAAAGAAAGATTTACTTATTTTTTCAAAGAGTTATAAACAGAGAAAGGTGTTACCGTTCATGGAGGGGAGGGCAGTTGCAGGAGAGAGTCTTGTGGGTTCTTTCCCTCAGCTCAGTATAGAAATAAAAAGCCATCCGGCGCCACGGCTCACTAGGCTAATCCTCCACCTTGTGGCGCCGGCACACCGGGTTCTAGTCCCGGTCGGGGCGCCGGATTCTGTCCCGGTTGCCCCTCTTCCAGGCCAGCTCTCTGCTGTGGCCCAGGAGTGCAGTGGAGGATGGGCCAAGTGCTTGGGCCCTGCACCCCATGGGAGACCAGGAGAAGCACCTGGCTCCTGGCTTCAGATCAGCGCAGTGCACCAGCTGCAGCGCGCTGGCCACGGCGGCCATTGGAGGGTGAACCAACGGCAAAGGAAGACCTTTCTCTCTGTCTCTCTCTCACTGTCCACTCTGCCTGTCAAAAAACAAAAACAAACAAACAAAAAAAAAAAAAAGAAAAGAAAAAGAAATAAAAAGCCAGGAGACAAATTGCAAAGAGGCAGAAACTTTTATTAGACAGAAAAGAAACTTTTATTTGACTGGCAGACAACAGAGAAGACGTCTGGTCCAAGAGGAGAGCAGGCGGAGTGCCGGAGCGGGGCGCTGGCTCTGAGGAAGTGTCCCGGGTTTCTGAGGCGTCACTGTCTGCTCACTGGGTCATCCTACTGGGGGTGCCCATTGGACGGGGGCTTTGCATATGTATGTTGATTGGCTTGGGGCTCATGGAGACAGTGGGGGGGGGTCTCTTGGAGATCGTCCATCTCCTTAGAGACTCAGCCTTCTCCTCTGCCAGCTCTGGGTGAAAGACTGCAGGTCCCCTGGAGGTGTGAATCAAAGCCATAAGGTCACACAAGATAGCCCGGGTCTCCTGGAGCCAGTCTGACTCTCCCCAGGGGCTCAGCCCCTTCCTCTGCCAGCTCTGGGTGGAAGATGGCCCCGACCCCGAAGGTGTGATTTAAAGCCGCAAGGTCACCCCTGCAGCACAAGAAGCTGTTAGGGAGGGAGGTGTGGGTCGGTCTGGAGACGGCTTCCCAGCCACAGCCGGCAGCCTGTTTGGGAAGGACATTCCACCCGTGTCTGAGGGGCCCGCAGACCCCCAGCCCCATGGGACGGCCTCAAAGGGACAGAGCAAGGTCTTCCATCCACTTGTTCACTCCCGAGATGGTCACAATGGCCAGGGCTGGGCCAGGTTGAAGCCAGGACTTTATTCCAGGTCTCCTTCATGGGTGGCAGGGTCCCAGACACTGGGGCCATCTTCCCCTGATTTCCCGGCACATCAGCAGGGAGCTGGATTGGAAGTGGCACAGCTGGGACACGAGTCAGGGCCCATACAGGGTGCCAGTACCCCAGGCAGGGGCTTCACCTTCTGTGCCACAGCGCCGGCCCACAAAATGGCTTCTTTTAAAGTGTATTGTTTTGTTTCCAACAGACGGTGTATGCGTTACCAACCATCGCATTCGCCTTCGTGTGTCACCCGTCCGTCCTGCCGATCTACAGCGAGCTTAAGGAGTAAGAGATTTGCTTGCTTTTTATCCCTGAGTCCCTTTACGCCCCTGCTCAGCAGGCAAGAACCGTGTGTGGCCAGCTCCAGCTCACCCCCCGGCGCCAGCGGCCACTGGCCTGCTGCCATTCCTGGAGCTCGTTCTGCAATGTAACACGCGAGAATCAAGACAAACCAGAAACCTGTAGTGCTTCCGGCCATAGGCGTAGCCAGTGGCTGTCCTAGGACCCGTGAGTGGGCGCGAGCCCGCACCCCTTGCTTCTGCTGCCCGTGCCTGGTTTGCAGTCGGGGTCGAGTCCCAGGCTCACTATCTGTGGATGGCTCGGGCCTGCTGGTTTGGACCGAGAAGGTCGGCAGGTCAGACAGTGAGAGAACCAAAGCAGGCGTTGTCTGTTTTCCCTTGCGGCGCTGGTGGACCTGCGGGCTCACTTGGGACTGCTGTTGTGGCACACGCTGAGCGCCTGCCTCTCACCACCCCCCGCCCCCGGTGTCCCCCCAGCCTGCCAGACACTGGCACAGCACAGCCCTCACCTCGGGGTCACACAGCGGGGCTGCTGTGTTGCTTGTGTCCTTGTCGGAAGGGAAATAAAGCTCAGGTCACCGAGAACCGAGTTCACTCCCTTTCTTACTTGATGGTTGTCGGAGTTGTTAGGATCCCCGCCTACCCGCTGGCCTGTAAGTGCAGAACCCGATGCCTTTGGCGTCTTTGAGACGCGATAGCTCTCTGTTGGGGATTTTCCCAAGTGTACACTTCTCAGTTCTCCTGTTCCCCGTGGTACCCTGGATTCCTTATTGGCGGGGGGCGATGTCATGGCTGACGGTGGTCTTACTGCGTTCAAGTCTTGCACAAGAGTCGCCGAGAGTCATCCCAACGCAGGGCTTGGCTGTGACCTCAGCGTCCCAGGCGGCTGTGACTGGGCCTGGGGGAAGGGTGCTCACTGCCTGCAGAGCGTCAGCCTTGCAGGTGCATCCCTGGGGCTGCTTGAGGGGAAAACCAGGACCAAGCAGAGCAGAGGCCGAGCACCTGTGGGGTTCCAGCTCCGCGCCCCGCCCCGCGTCTCTCCCACCTCTGGGCTGGGCGAGAAGCACTTGGATCCTTCTGCCTTTTGTCCCGGGCACAGTCAGGGTGAGATAACATCAGGCACAAATATTGAAGAATGGTGTCCGCCTCGCCTGAGAACTCGATGTTCTTTGAGCAGAATGGGGAGGAGCGCTCGTGGGAGTGCGGTGGCTGGCTGCCTCCCCCACGGGACCTGCCCTGTGTGACAGCCCGGGGGTCTGTCTACCCTGGTGTGCGGGTCTGCCCGCCTTGGTGGAGGAGAGCTAAGATAGTATCCTTGCACAGCGTCGCTGGCACCTCCCACCCCTTCATGCGAGCTTTAATTGTTACATTCCCGCATCTGTGTTTCCAGTCGGTCACAGAAGAAGATGCAGATGGTGTCAAATATCTCCTTCTTCGCCATGTTTGTCATGTACTTCCTCACGGCCATCTTTGGTTACCTGACGTTCTATGGTGAGTAGCCCCTGCTGCGGCTCAGACGCAGGCATTTGTATGCAAGGTGCTAAAATTCAACATCGACCTGACGGTTTTCACTGACGCTTATTCGTACACATTAATGGGGTGTAGTGCATTAATTTGAGAACTATGCAATGTGTATGGAAATTAGCACTTCTGTCTCCCCAATACTAATCATTTAAGACTTTTTTTTTAAGATTTTTTTTTTAGTTTTTGAAAGGTAGAGTTACAGAGGAAGAGAGAGAGAGGGAGTGGCAGAGAGAGATCTTTTATCCTCTGGGTCAGTGCCCAGATGGCTGCAACAGCCAGAGATGGGCCAGGCAAAGCTGTGAGCCTGGAGCTTCTTCCAGGTCTCTTATGTGGGTACAGGGGCCCAGGTACTTGGGCCATCTTGCACTGCTTTCCCAGGTACACTAGCAGGGAGCTAGATTGGAAATGGAGCAGCTGACACTTGAACTGGTGCCCATATGGGATGCCAGCACTGTAGGCGCTAGCTTAACCCACTATACCACAACGCTTAAAAATGGGTTTATTTCTTAGAGACAGATCTTTCTGCTGATCACTCCCTAAAGGGCTGCAGTAGCCGGGTCTGGTCCAAGCAAGAGTCAGGAGATAAGAACTCCATCCAGGTCTCCAAGTGGTTCCTAAGGACCCAGGTACCTGGGCCATCTTCTGCTGCCTTCCCAGGCACATCAGCAGGGAGCTGGATCGGAAGCAGAGAAGCTGGGACTTGAACTTGGGATGGTGGCTTAACCAGCTGCGCCACATGCCTGCTCCCATTGTGGACTCCTGCCTTTGAAATGCATCTCAGGTTGCTGGCCGCAGCTACCCTACTTAGGACGCCGGACGCTGCCTCCTCTCAGTTTTGGTGTTGCTTATCTAACCTCATTCCGGCCGCCTCCCCCCAGCCCCACGTAACCCTCAGCCTGGAAGTTGAAGGGAGCCGCAGAGCTGCCCTTGGGCTTTGCTGGTCTGCTTCTAAGGATGGCGAGTGCTGATGCTCCTGTGCACAGAGCGGCTTACCTTAAGAGAGGGCTGTTTTTCCTCCTGCTGGTGTCCTTAAGACACATTGCATTTGAAAAGCGGTCGTTTTTCCTTAAGAACGTTTAAAACGATGCAATGAAGGCTTCCCTGGGTAGCTGTGAATTGGGTCACGCTCCATGAATAGCGGCGGGCTGGAGACGTTCTCACGAAGAACAGTGAGCCAGTCTCATGGCAGCGCGTGAAACACAAGCAGCGCGCCCGGGTGTTCAGCGGCCGTGGAGCTGTGCAGAGAGCCTGTGGGCTGAGTTAGGACGCCCAGGAAGTGAAACCTGAGGACACAGACCGTGTTTGCTCGTAACTTGCACTGACCCCATTCAGAGGATCCCAAGCTTTCTTAACGTCTTCTGTTGTCATTGTAAATTGGGACCTAACTGAAATACACATTTATTTCATAATCTCCTTATTAACTGTTTTTTCATAAACGGAAGTGTGTCAGACTTCAAACCATTTAAAGATTCAGCCTGGAGCGATGGTCAGTTGGATCACCATCATTCTCATAAGCAGCGAAAATCGCGTCATCTGGTGGATCATAAACACATGTTCACTCTCACACACGATGGTGTTTCTCTATGGCACACGGGAAGACCGAATGCTGTGAAGTTGTTGCTTTGCTCAGACTGTGGCTGAACAAACTTTCTTCGTAAATCCATCGTTTTTACACACACGGAATACCAAACTTTTTACACTGCTAGGCTAAAGAAAAAGGCTGGGGCGGGCACTGTGGGGCAGTGGGTTAAGCCACTGCCTGGGGTGCCTCACGTCCCATATCGAGTGTCTGGCATTGGGTGCTGACTCTGTTTCCTCCCCAGCTCCCTGCTGAGGGCACCCTGGGAGGCAGCTCAGGTACATGGGTCCCCGCCCCCCAGATGGAGTTCCTGACTCCTGGCCTGGTTTGGCCTGGTGCAGCCTTGGCTTTCAGGAATTTGGGGAGTGAACGAATAAACAGACCTCTCTCTGTTTTTGTCTCTCACTCTGACTCAAAAATAGAGTAAATTTTTTTAAACCCTCAATAATCCAGGTAAATAATATTTTTAAAAGGCCCAGCTATTTTTAAGCAGTCATAAATTTTGAAGTGAGAAAATTAGGACTGATGAGATTTTTATTAAAACTTTTGGTGCTGTTTGAGAAACTGAGACCAAGCTCAGTGGTCCAGGTTAGAACTTAACCTTGGCACTCGTGCAGCGGGAAGCCCCCGAGCGCAGACGGGGGCTGGGCTCCTGTGTCAGCTCCTCGAAGCAACTCTGCAGGCCTGAGCTGACAGAAAGGGCAGAGCTGTGCCTGCTGCCCTCTCACGAGGCACACGCACGGAGAGAATTCTCCCCCGGTCATGGTCACGTGGTGTCTCTGCTCCTGGCCACCAGAGACTGAGCTCCAGGGCCTCCACCGCAGAGCGGAGAGGAGCAGTCGGGGACTGGAGGAGCCGGTCTTCAGTCCCTGCCGCGAAGCCCAAGGCAGCCCAGCCCGAGCAGGGACAGAGGTTTCCTTGACCCGGTTTGGAGGTTCACAGCCCCGTGGGCTTGGCTTCTGGGGGCCTTCATGCTGCAGAGCTCCGAGGGTGGCCCAGGTACAGGGAGGACAGGCCTGTCCTGCTCCCCGTCTGTCTGCTATGATCTTAGGCCCCGCTCTAACCAGCTAATGCCGCCTGCTCACTTCCCAGAGCCCCCCGTCCATCACCATAGCAGGGCTGGGTGCACTCACAGAGCCGTGCACACAGGACTCACCACAACGGGGCCCTGTGCACTCTCAGCTCTGCACACAGGACTCACCACAACGGGGCCCTGTGCACTCTCAGCTCTGCACACAGGACTCACCACAATGGGGCCGTGTGCACTCTACACACAGGACTCGCCACGACGGGGCCGTGTGCACTCTGCACACAGGACTCGCCACGACGGGGCCGTGTGCACTCTGCACACAGGACTCGCCACGACGGGGCCGTGTGCACTCTGCACACAGGACTCGCCACGACGGGGCCGTGTGCACTCTGCACACAGGACTCGCCACGACGGGGCCGTGTGCACTCTGCACACAGGACTCGCCACGACGGGGCCGTGTGCACTCTGCACACAGGACTCGCCACGACGGGGCCGTGTGCACTCTGCACACAGGACTCGCCACGACGGGGCCGTGTGCACTCTGCACACAGGACTCGCCACGACGGGGCCGTGTGCACTCTGCACACAGGACTCGCCACGACGGGGCCGTGTGCACTCTGCACACAGGACTCGCCACGACGGGGCCGTGTGCACTCTGCACACAGGACTCGCCACGACGGGGCCGTGTGCACTCTGCACACAGGACTCGCCACGACGGGGCCGTGTGCACTCTGCACACAGGACTCGCAACCGACGGGGCCGTGTGCACTCTGCACACAGGACTCGCCACGACG